AACAAAGACCTTCCTAAAGGGATGCTGAAGAAGAACTGGAGGATGACAGTGTCAGGAAAGCTAAGGAGAGCAAGACTTGAAAGATTATTTTTCTGTTCATTTTGAGAATAATACCAAATTAATACCAAAACACATTTTAAAGCCAATGACATAGATCTATTAATGCAAACATAAGAAAAAAATTACTGAGCCATTCAAAAGGTCTTTAATTAAAGCTTTAAGAAAACACAACACATTGACTACATCTTAAAGGATAATATATGAGCAAGAAAGGATGTAGTTAGGGTACTTCCCTGATTAGGGCTGGCAGCTCAGCTCAGAATGAGCTGCTTGTAGCGTGACTGAGGAATAAATGGAGCTTCCATTACCTGATACAACTTTTAGAAACTTTTATCAGACAGCTGCTTCTTGATCAGCTGAAGTTGTGTCAATCTAGAGTTCACAAGCAGATTCTCCTTACTGTGGTATGAACCAAAATCAACTAGCTTCAAAGCATAGTGTTTTGTGGCATGATCCCAAATCAGCTTCCTGCACAAACTGAAATACTCAGAACCAGAGTTCTCCAATACGAAGTAACCGAAGATTCTCTGTGATGTTAGCATTCCCATTTTTGGATATTGCAGGGACAGTATCGTACCTTCCCCAGACCTAAAGGCCCCTTTTCTCCCCCGTATGAACCACGACAGCTGTGCAGCTGTGGAGGCAGAGCTGTGCAGGGGTTCCAGGGGAAAGGCTTTGCCTCTCTGCTGGGGCAGTTCTGTAGGACCACAGAAGCTTTATGCAGTGGTTCTCGTGCCCCAATTTGTAGGGCTTCTCGGTGTTATTACAGAGGTTACGCAATTCCACACCAGAGCTAGGTCTAATTTCAGGGTCAGCGGTAATATAAAGTCTCCAATAGTCAAGCACAATGAATGCAATTTTTGGAAGCTGAGTTCAATGCAGCTTACGATAAATCTCCCACCACCTTGACAGTTTCTCCCTACAGGAGAAGGGCCTACAGGACACTATATTTTACAGAATGGCATTAAATTAGCTGTAACTTCAGATACATTTTAAGAAATTATGTCAATCTTTCGTAAGTTAAGAACAATTGTTTTTAATAACAACAATTAGCAATAGCTGATTAATATTCCCAACAACAAATACTGTTTGTAAAGCTATGCTATAAAGGATTGCTATCAAATACAAAAATTAAACCCATAAGAAATACCTACCATATAAAAGCAACTCAGAAGATTTGCCAAACTGCAAGGCTTTTTTACAAAATGTTTACATGCTTTAATGACAGATAACATAAAAGCATCAAGTCCTCCACAGGACATACCACTTATCTTAAATTTATAGTTGAGTTTCCCTCCCTCCCTCCCTAATAAAAGTACTAATTTGGACATTACATTCCACTGTGTGCCTTTAATTTACAGCAGTTACTAATAATATCGCTACATAAAAACTATTCAACATATTAGTGCACAAGATTTCACCAAGTCTGAGTCTTTCAGCACTGTATTATTGCCACAAAAGCACAGTAAAGAAATGACACATAACTAAAAGCAACAATAAAATTTGTGGACTACGCTTTTTGAAGTGCGACATTTATTTTTCACCATATGCTATCATGTTATCCTGAACCTTCATCTTCTACTTCTGAAGACAGAGTTCAGAAAAATACCTGGGGGAATAGTACTGTAATACCTGCTGAGCATTAAGAAAGCCAAAGATGAGGGCACACCTGCTAGAATTAGGCAATCCAAAGAGTCAGGGGAAGGGCAATGAACTTCAGTCAGACATGCTGGATTCAGAAGTTTAAAATATGTTGAAAACTATGTTGGAAAAATCAGGACCAATTAAAGGAATAAATGAGACTTCATTTGATCCAAATATTTTAAACAAGTCAGGAATAGCCACAATATAACCAGGCATGCTAATAGGATGGAGAGACTGCCTCAGGGATCAACATTATAATTATTATTCAGAAGGACTGTGATTGATTAGAAGTGTAGAAGTGTAACTATATACAAGTCAGAAAGGGAAGTAAAGCAGGGCTTTTGCTTTAAGGTTTTTGCCTTTTCTCATATTACAAAGTACAGCAAAATGAGCATTTTTCTAGCAGAAAGATTTAACATCCTGAAGGGATTTTGACTTTCAAAATCACCCCTAGCCCTTGTGAAACAGAAACGGCAGCAGGTGGGTGTTCTGTTCCAGCTCCATGGTAGTGAGCGCTCAAACGTCCATCGTGGTGCAACTATTCAATTAAATATTGTCGTCAGACCATGGCAAAAGGCTCCACTGGGACTCTGCTCTCAGTCTTAAAGATATAATGGCAGGAACGCAGCAAATGAAAAGCTTTTGATGTTGCACTGAGTTCTGCTTCCTCTAACTGAGAATATTCGATGACCAACTTACAACTCAGTCATTGCTTCCCTGCACCCATATGTACCTTAGTCTTTGTCATGTTTTGCACACGCAAAAACATTTCCATATTTTGTTTGCAGAAAAAGGTGCCTTGTGTCAAAATGAAGAACAGGACAACTACTCAATGAGGAAACCCACACCCCTGCTATCTTTTCAATATTACAGCCTGTGGTTCTGCAAGGTATTTAGGCATACATCTAAGTTTAAGAACATTTATTTTTCCTTAAAGACCAAAACCTTCATTTTAACTCACTTGAAGGGGAATTGCACTCTGAAAATTTCTGTCTCTGTCAACTACTAAGAAAGTCTGCATCACTAACACACACTGAGCTCTTAATTTTTAGGACCCTGAAATAAGGTGAATTGGGGTCTCAGTGTTTACCTGTTCGCTTGAGTAGACTTTGTCACAGCGTTTAATCTTCTTCTTCGTTATTAGTATTGTGCGCTACCGTATGAATTTGAGGTATGAGAATACTAGGCAAAATGTCAAAAGTGAATCTCAAGTTCAAACAAATCCTGAGATTAAGGTTTAACTAACTGAACACAGATATGAGATAACGTCTGTGAAAGTGAAGAAAAAAAAAAAAAACAAAATCACATGAATCCTACTAAACCCTCATCCATCCACCAACTAAAATTATCCCTTCCTGATCACAAGACCTGAAGTCATTTTGACCTTTGTCTTGGGTTTCCCTCATTTCCAAGTAAGGGAGTTCAGAGTCGCCTTTCCAAGTGGTACCAGAGTAAAGAGAAACACACAGGCTCCCGCTGAGAAATCCTTTAATAACTACAAGAATTTTAGCACGTAGTAGTTGGTCTCCAAGGAGTCCCATGAGAAGAGGGCACACAGTCCACACCCTTCCTCTGAAGGAAGGAGGTTTCTCAGAAGTTTACTCAACACATAAAAAATAAGGTGTCTGTCAATAGGTCCTCCAAAGAAGCTAACAAGTACGGAGTGGGAACAGAAGTTTTGGATGGAGCAATGTGCTACACAAGTGGATGATGATGATGCACAGGTGTTGGTCACAAATATGCTGGACTACACTGCAAGACAAATTACAGCCTGCAACCTAATCCTGCGTCTTGCAGACACCACGATGGATGCAAGCAGCTCAGAAGGTAAGGTCTGCTTTACTGGGAGGTGATTGCCTTCCCGTGCCTATTCATAGCACCCTGCTCCGCATTCCGTGTCCCTACTCTGTATGCCCGGCCTGAAAGACACGCTTCCCTACAGTTTGCTGGGAAAGAATGAGCAACTCACTTCACAGGAGCACAAGGCATCAGGGGATGCAACACCCCTCAAACCTACAGCGTAACAGAAAGAGCAACACAACTCAGAGATAGGTCCGACCACTGTGTGCTAGGCTAACGTGGACGCTGTGGCCTAAAAATTCATCAGCTTCTACATAGCTCTCCCTTCTTTCGTGGTACCACGGAGCAAACAACCAAGAAAACAGGCGTGTTATTAATTTACTTAATAGAAATGCAAATTCAAAAATCACAGTAGTTTCATTTAACTACTGATATTCTCTATCTTAAGTTGTCCAGCATTTCTGCACTGCTGGTATACTGGATCCAAAACCACGGAATTAAGATCTTCTCAAAATGAGAACCATTCTGGTCATGTGAAGGACAGGAGCATTAAAAACCCATGTAACAGAAGAGGTAAAATGGTTTGCACCTGGATCCCCAACAAAATGGCAGTTGTGTCTCACAGAGAAACTTTTTTCTTTAGTTATTTCTCCCCTTGCTGTCAACTAAATTGAAAGCCTATTAAAAAAATCCTGTCCTATATAATCAGTCAGTAAACAGTTACTACTGTCCAAAATATATATGCATATGTATATTTTGCAGCCCCCAACATACATTTATAGCCATGTATTTTCAGCTGGTGTGAACTTGCAGAGCGTAACTAATTTCACTGGACTAGTGCCCAATTATGGCAGCTGAGAATCCATCCCTATGACTTAAAATACAAATACAGAGGCTTTACTGTTAGCTACTTGCCTATCGCCTGCAGAGGAAATGCAGGTGTTCATGTTACTGTCATATTACTAATTCATATTACACTGGTTTTGCTGTCCCTTCCCTTTTAGACCATGTTATAATTATTTTTCTGTTCTAAGAAACTGTCTGTCTTGAAGATCCTGCTGGATGACAGAGAAACCAGAAGGACCCCTAAGGCAAAAGCAGACTCCAAACATTATTCTCAAAATGCGTGTATGGTAAGAGATTATGAAATATCTCTGTGGGCTCACGGAAAAGGAGAATATGAAATGGAATGTAGAGCCCCAGTTTCAACCGATCAATCCCCCTGGTAACATCAGGTTAACAAATTCCAGTATCTGTGCAAGAAAGCACAAAGCCATTGTGTGATGCCGGTGGCAAGAATCCACATCATCAAAATTCCCAACGATGACAATCACTTTAATGAAGTTAACTTGGTGAAAAAATACAGAACATAAACCGGATAAAAAAGGTGTGGTGTTGGAAGTTGAAATCATCAGTTCAAACATCTCTCCCAATTGCAAAGCTTGTATATAAATGCAAGAAATGATCAAACCTCACCCAATAGCTCATGCACTTACCTGTCCCAGATCTAAAGTGACATTGACTTCGTTGTACTTCAAGCCCATAGAAAGAGGAGGACTTTGCCACCAGCGCTCCGTGCCATCAATTGCATTGGTTACCGGGTGAGCTTTACTGGGATCAGCAGCATTGCAATAATCACAAAACTGCCCCTGAAACACAATAAATTAAAAAGATGGTCTCAGTTGAAATCTTATGCACTGCAGCCGCATGCTATTGTTAATTGAGATTCTGAACTAGAGCGTTGACTAAAAATGGGTTAAATTTTGTTTCTCTCTTTATATAGTGTAATTTTTAATGTATAAATGATTCACCTGGGGATTAAATTACACATTTATATCCTGAAACACACTAAATTTTATGTTACAAACTAAAATTTCAGAAATCTCTTTAAGGAAACTACAATAAGTCTTTCTTTACTAGTGAATTTATTGATACTTTGGTGAAATTACCTATATTATGTTTGCAGGGGTGTCTGCAGGAAATTAATGAAACAAAGATTTTTAAAACTGGATTAAGACCGACACACAAATTATCCTCAATTCTCCTAAAAGACCGTGAAATATTCACATATGTACATAGCCTGATATTAATAAAACCATAAAAAATACTCTGTTACTTGCCTGTAAGTTTGGTGTTACAATTTTATAATACAGCTTTCATCTTTTTCATGTCATTATAATACATTCTGGATCAGAGACTTCTGAACAGTATGTACTCATGGAAAATGCAATGGATCCTATACAGTGTTCCCCTTAAGTTTCCCTTTAAAGAATCCCATTGTATCTTCATTTGCAGAAGTTACCGCCCAATTTCCAGTCCACAACTAAAGCCACACTCCAGAGATGCCCTGATAATCTCCCTTTGATAGTCTCTAAAGCTCTTTGTACTCTTCTGTACAATAATGATGAATAAACTTCAGGAAACTTAATAATTGTCTTGTAATTTGGCATCTTGGCTTGCCCCACAAGCAGTATTTTTATCTTCAAGAAACTGCGTTTCAGTCTACTAAGATGAGTGCTGAAGCGTTGTAATTAGTTATTAAGGGATCTTTTCAGTGTCCCATTCACTTCTTACTCCAGTGACTGGGTGGAGATAATCAATGAAAATGCTAAACTGTGCCAAGCACAGATCTTTGCAGAACCCCAATAGAAAAATGACATTTTCATTAAATGGCAGTACCTCTTAATGGTTACTTCAGTCGAACAGTTGCTTGAGGTCCTGACACTGTGTTGGACCCATGTTTTAAATACAGTAGTATTTGTATCATTCTCTTTATCAGCTAAGCGTATTTTCATCAAAAAGATGTGACAAATCTTTTATTGTTTCCGCAAACCATGTTGCCTGGCATGAAGTATATTCCTACCTTTTAAGTACTAACAGAATCCCATATAACTGCCAGTATTTTGTTTGTCGCTGCTGTCAGACTAACCAGTGTAAAGCAACTGGAGCAATCATACACTTGTCCACTTTTAATAGGGGAATAATTTTAGTGCTCTCACATTCTTGCTGGGTACATTCTTGCAAGCGTGGTGAATTTAAGATGTTGATCTCTAGCAGAATTTGTTTAACATCTGCCATAGTTACTAATGGATTGGAAACAACTTCATCATTCTCATGTGATACAAATACACCATCTTGTGTCTTTTAAATACAAAACATAGATGTTCACTGAATATTTCTGCATCAGTAGTGATAATTTCAGCATCTGCATTTAGCAATGGTTCCATCCTCATCCTGCTCTTCCAGAAAGCTTAGAGTATGATGTTGTTTCCAGAAGACATGACTACTATTAAATGTTCTGATTCAGCACTGCAGGTGTCAACCTGGCTGAGGGTTAACTCTTGAGAATTCAAGATGTAGTTTAGAGACCTACTAAATCCTCACATACATAGGTTGGTTAACTATGTCTGGGGTCATGTTATAACACGATTCTCCTCCAGCTCTGTTAGAGAAGATGGTTTGGCTGATTTTCGTACAAACTACAATATGCCAGGACACTGCTGGATTCAGATGCAGTTTGCTGCAGCAGACACCACATCAGCCCGTACTAGCTACAGGCAACGTTGCCAGTTTCTGCAGTGACGACAAAGAACATCGTGTCACTATCGGCAAAATCAATACATTGAGAAATCAATCTATGCACCAACAACTGCAGTTACCACATCAGAGCATCTTTCCTGACAAATATATACTTGGAGTTCTGACATATATATGTTACAACAGTACAAGCTTCCCTAAATAGTTTTATAACGTGCACGAAACACGGTCTTTAGATCTAAATTCACGTTCACAATGATCAGGCTGGAAATACACAGGAAACAGTTGCTGCTATGGCAGTTTCAGCTCTGATCTGGAAACAGCCTCAAAGAAAGGCTGAATGAGCAGAAAACAATGGGGAGTATTAAATGCAAGCGTTACATTTACATGCACCTATGTGATTTGAGTATACCAGAGCACTTGATCTGAACTCAAGATACCATCTTTTTCTTTTTGGGCACATAATTCAAAGAATTTCATTGCAACAGCTGGAGTTTCAGTTATTTAAAGTACATTCCAGCAACCCTGCCAACAAGGCAGCAAAACAAAAAATGAAAGAAAATAAATTATTGGACAGAGCAGCCTTCCCTGCTTCCCACTGGCAGTATCTCAGGCACGCCGTGCTCAGCTCAGACGTGTCTGCTACAGGACACGTCTCCATTCCAGGAGACTGGGCCTCGAGACTTTCTTTGATTTTGGCTGCAGTTCATCAGGCAGGCAGGTGTGCATTTGCTGGTGACCTTGTTACCCTCCTTTCCCCTGGTTCTCCTGAGCGAAGGAGAAAACTGGAACTGCATGAAGGAGTTCACTGAAACACACCAGTGTGGACCAGAGACACCCAGGGATGAAAATGTCTCGCCTGTAAGTTTTAGAAAGTGACAACAATGAAGGATTTGTTCACTATTTAATACCGAGCAGTTCTGCCCCCGCTGGCAGGGCAGGACAGGTATGCAGTTAAACTTTAATTCACACCCGCTCACCACTGCGAACAGACTGGCAGGCAAAACCAGGCATGCCACTTATCTATCAGTTGCTGAAATATTTTACACTGCAGTACATCTCTTCACTCAACACTGTTCTTATTAAGTCATTGTCCCACTTGTGCCAATGTGCTAAATAAGAGAAACATACTGTTTTCCACAGCGTATGTCCAGCACTGCCTTAAGAGCCTCGGTTGAGCTGCCCATGAAGGGACTGTCCACCCCACCGATCACCTCGCGGAAGAGCTTTAAACGACCTTCAAATGCTCTTTCTGGATTTGCCGGGTACTATGGGCTTCATCAAAAGACAGATCACCAAATGACAAGCTGAACGAGAGAGGCCAATGGCAAGGCAGTGGAAATGAAGCTGGGGCTGCTCTTCCTCTCTTTGCCTTATTTTCAGTGCTTGGGATAGCAGCGCCAAAGAGCTGCCTGCTCCCTTCGTCAGAATGAGGATCACCCTCCGCACCTTCTTTCCAATTTCCCTATTCATAGCGCAACAGCCGCAATCCAGCCTTGTAGAGACCCCAAAAGTGAGTCACTCAAGCGTACGGCATTGCTTTAGCTTGAACTGGCCTGACAGGGTGGCTATTACACCTATCATTTTATGTAAAAGCCGCATGACCTTCCCTCAGACTCTTAAGAAACAACACGTGAACACTTATCCTGATTTTAAACCCTTCTATGTAAGCTCAGCTTCTGTAAGAGTTTAATGCACTCCTCTCCAACTTTCCACGAAATAAGGGATTCTCTTATTTACAGTGTCTTTGAACTTGTGAGGTGGAGTGGCTTGATAATACATACATTGTGCTGTTATCGCATTTTCTGTGGCTGGATTTCCCTGGCCTTTTGAAAGCATTTCCAACCCTTCTTGAACCACAACAACTACTGGTAGACCACAGAAGTATTCATGTTATGTATCTCAATGGGGCTTTGTTAAAACTGGAGAGAGACGCTGCTGTATCCGTGCTTACACAAACGCTGTAAGAGGCACAACATGCTTCCTTGTGCCAGGGCTGAGCTATCAGTAGTCCTTCTGGGAATGTGAATCAGGCATGAACCATAACTGCCCTCTAACCCAGGACCTGTAAGGCAAATATTTAACAAGAGGAACTCCCCCCTTTCTAGCTTCTTCCTATTTACAGCAAACCCTCATTTCAGTTGGGTGTTGGTATATAAAAGGAACAATTAAAAAAAACCATCAATGACTGTGCATCACACAACAGGCTTCGTTCTGCTTGCTTGACATGTTTATCTGATGTTTGCTTTGACTGATTTTTGTTATACCATGATTTCTGATATTCCAAGGCATGTTAGTATGAGGTTTCACTGCGGCAGTGGGCTATAGCGTGTTGCTGAGAGATTACTGGGCTTGCCATTCACCTGGTGGCATGGTTGTTTCAGGCAACTTTAAACATGGGTGTTGCCTTCAGTACGGAGGGATGAATGCCTATACTTCAGAGGTGTGTTAGAAACAGAGGACCAAGCAGTTTCCTGATCATCACAACCTTTTTTTGTAACCTTAGTTTAATAATACCTGTGACCCAGTTTTCTCATTAGTAAAACTGTGTATTACTCAGCCTGTAAGCATCTCCAAAGCACTTTGAGCTTTTTATGATGGAGGGCACTACACACATGTAAGGTAAACTGAGATTTCATGGGGAGGCAGGAAGGCATGGCAGAGAGAAGTTCGGGGCAAAGCACACTGCTGGCTGTGGCTGCCTAATGAACTGCGAGGGCAGGCTGTGTGATGGTGCATGCTCCCTTCTGGCACATGACAAGGAGTACATACGCTGCACCTTCTTAGTCCTCTCCCCCCCCCTCTTGAGCACATGGGTGTTGCCTTCAGTACGGAGGGATGAATGCCTATACTTCAGAGGTGTGTTAGAAACAGAGGACCAAGCAGTTTCCTGATCATCACAACCTTTTTTTGTAACCTTAGTTTAAGCATGTAATACCTGTGACCCAGTTTTCTCATTAGTAAAACTGTGTATTACTCAGCCTGTAAGCATCTCCAAAGCACTTTGAGCTTTTTATGATGGAGGGCACTACACACATGTAAGGTAAACTGAGATTTCACGGGGAGGCAGGAAGGCATGGCAGAGAGAAGTTCGGGGCAAAGCACACTGCTG